ACCGTGGTTAAATAAAACTTCGGAAAGCATGACCGCGAATAAGTGAATAATCCTTTTAATCACCATTTATTAGCTATAGCAGAAAAAAAAGCACTCTGTAAATAATTCTTTATTCTCTTTTAGAAATATGCTCTGAAAAGAATTCGGAGAATGCTGAACAGACGAAATTTATCTAGGTGGAGTTTCGGTTAAGACGATGACATCGGAGTTTTTTTTGTCTAGTGACCCAGATTTTTTTCGACAATAAAAGAATTAGTTTCATTGGGGATTTTTTGTCATTGCTAATAAATTGTAATTATATCCTTGTCAAATAAATTATTTGTATAATAAAAAATTCAAGATCATATTACGGTTGCTAATACTGCATAAGAAAATTAACAAATATGGCGACGAACGATCCAAATTGCGGATTTCGAATTGGAGATATCTATATCAAGCAGGTGTAGAACTATCTGGGAAGCGTTTTAACAGAGGACAGAAAATGAAACACCGAGATTCGAACCCGCATTTGACTAGTGAAAAAAGCTTTTCCAAAATAAAAAGAAAAAAACAAAGATTAGGATAACAGTCTGAATATAAATAGTGTAAATAATAACTTCACATCACAGAAATTCAAACAGAAATTTATAATTGTTGTGAGTTATTTAAAATTTACTATTAAAAATATCAAGATTACTTCATTCTTTCATTTATTCCCAAGCTGTGATCAAAATGTTAAGGTACTTACTAATTTCAAGCAGAAAATAGTTTTATTTGAAACTCAGTTTGTGCCATGCATGATACACGCTTAGGCGATCATGTATCTTTCGATACATAACTGACGATGCAGATTTTTTTTCCCGCAGTAGGTTGCTATTACTTTCAGCGATAGACCAGTTGCAATCCAGTCTGTCCTGCTATTTACCCATAGCTGGGGGGAGAAGAAGTGTATTCATACCTTTCCCAAGGGTATTAGCACGTAAGTGAATGCAATGGATTCGACAGGAATTCGAATTCAGCTCTCCGATTCAGTTATGTGCCATGCATGATGCACACTTAGGCGATCATGTATCTTTCGATACATGACTGACGAGGCAGATTTGTTTCCCGCAGTAGGTTGCCATTACTTTCAGCGATAGACCAGTTGCAATCTAGTCTGTCCTGCTATTTACCCATAGCTGGGGGGGAAGAAGAGTATTCATACCTTTCCCAAGGGTATTAGCACGTAAATAAATACAATGGATTCGACTGGAATTTGAACTGGGCTCTCTGATTCCTCAATCCGAGCCGCTATCCATTACTCCATTGTTTTCCAAAAACAAAATGCGACAGAAAGAAATGCGTGCAGCATTTTTATGTGTTATCAACCCTCGTATATGGCAGTGAATGATGGACAATCTTCCCACGGCTGGCGAAAGTAACTTGCAGCAGCAAAAACAGGGATCTACAAACAGGATACTGAAAATTCCATGGACGGAGTGAGTAAGCAACAAGGAATTCTTAAAGAAAATGGCAACAGAAAGAACCCTTAATCATATATTCAAAACCAGCGAAAAAACAGCTGAAATTCCTTAGCCGCAAAACGAGGAAGAGTGACTTAGAAACTTGACCATCACGTGTCATTTTTAAATCATTTCACCCCATGCAAGGCGGGAGTGTCACTAGCACGCAAGGGGTTGCAGAGAGTGAGAGCAAGAGTAAAGTAGGGTGTTTGAAGAAATGATAAAGAGAAGGATGCTGGATCAGGATCAAGACATCAGAAGATGTCGATTGACATTACATTTGAATATTTGAAGATTATAGCTATCAGAAGCAAGTAGGAGGAAGGAAATTTTTGTCTCTGTCCATAATGATTGTTCAATTTACGTACATATTTCATAGACTAAATGGAGCAATCATTATGGGACAGAGGTAGAATAATATAGAAGAATGGCTACTTTAATAATCAGATTAAATTGAAGAGGAGAGGAAACATTTTCTTTTTAAGCATATCACCCCAAGCAAGGGGGAGTGCCACTAACACGCAAGGGGTTACAGAGAGTGAGAGCAAGAGTAAAGAGGGGGTGTTTGAGGAAAGGATATAGAGAAGGACGGTGATCAGGATCAAGGCATCAGAAGATGTCGATTGACATTACATTTGAATATTTGAAGATTATAGCTATCAGGGGAGCGAGTAAGAGGAAGGGAGTTCCACTGTCGGGAAGTACGAGAGAAGAAGCTGTTGGTGTAAAGGAGGCTTTCACATTTAATTGTTTCGACAGTGAAAGCGTGAGACCGAAATGCCAACCTAGTAGCACGCTTAAATTCATGCAGTTGGGGCACCAGAGAAAGTAGCTTGTCAGAGCAGTTGCCATGAAAATATTTGTAGAAAAGACAGAGGGAAGCCACAGCTTGTTTGTGAGAAAGTGACTCGTGTCGAGATGCCAGGTCAGGACCTGTCACATTGCATATCTGTATCTGGATTTTGTCGAGGACCTCGAGATGAACAGCGGGGAGACCATATATGGCATATTCAAGGCACAATAGGGTTAATCTGCGAGCCGCTTAACTGATGAGCTTGTGTGGATGGTAGCCTGAGTGGGAGGCGAGAGTCTTATCAAAGGAAGAAAAACTGCTAAAAAACGCACAAGATAGGAAATTTTGGTGAGCGCCAACACCCTGAAGAGGCATGGCAAGAAGAAGAAGAATAAGGAGGAGGAGGAGAATAATAAGAAGAAGGATTTCTTTCTTAGAAGAAGAAAAAGGATCGAAGAAGGAGGAGATAATTTTTGGATAAGAACAATTCGAAGGAGGAGGAGAACAAAAAAGAAGCATCGTCAGAGAAGAAGAAGAAGTGTTAAAAAGGAGGAGGGAAGAATAAGAAGGAAGGAGTAGATGCTTATAGGAATTGAAGAAGAAATGAAGAAGAAGAAGGAGGATTAGATAACAAGAAGGAAATATTTGAAAAGAATCAATTATATGAAGAAGAAGGAGAAGGAAAATAACTGGTCTTTTTGTGAAGAAGACAACAACAACAAAAGTTTATTTCTTTTTCTTCTCTTTTTTTAAAGGAAGAGCGTGATGATTTATTTTCAGAACTAAGAGGATGTATGTTTTCCTGTTCTTGAAGAATCAAAAGGGAAGAAAGAAGAAGAAGAAGGTTTGAAGAAGAAATAAGAAGAAGAAGAAGATATTTTTAGGAAGGTTGGAGAAGAAAGAAGAAGGAAGATTATCAAAAATTCCAGAAGAAGATCGTTTGTTTGGAAGAGAAACGAAGAAATGAAGTGTTTGAAATCTTTTTCTAATGTGAGGAAAGAAGAAGAAGGATTTTATTAATATATCTATTTCTTGAAATGAGGAGGAGGAGGAAGAAGAATCGTCATTTGAAGAAGAAGAAAATTCTATAAAGTTTTAATATTATTCATCGTCATAAATTTAGGAAATGAAGAAGATAGAAGAAGAATTCAGATCCAGATAAAACAATGATATTTTTATTCCTATTGAATGGTGTCCTAAAACAAGAAGGATTGAACTGTCACAAGAACAAGATTATCTATTATCAAGAAGAATCTTTAATTTTATCTGGTTAAAAAAAGATGCTTCATCTCATTAATTTTCTGTTAGTTTTGTATAAGAAACTTTCCTTGCTTAATAATCCATTTGTGTTGCAGAATTATAATTTGGAATTTAATAAACATTGATATTATTTTTCGGATCCAGACTATTTAATAGGATAATTTATTTCAAAAGGGAAATAAATATCTATAAAGGAGGAAATGGAATCATTAGAAGTCTCAGAAGAAGATCATCTATATATTAGACGTATTAATGTTAAGATGACGCCATCATCTTTTGATAATCTTTAGAAGGGTTAAATAGAATCATTAAATTAATTCTGCATAAGAAGATGTTATTTTTAAGAAAAATACTAAGAATTCCACTGAATTATATTTTCTGTCATTTAATGTTAGACGTTTATTTTTAGAGTTGTTTTTTTACAAAATTTATTTTATCTTTTCGTAAAAACCCAGAAATTTTGATACATCTTGGAGGCAAATTTCTTGTTTAACTATTTCTTATCATTGTGTTCTATCCTAAAAGATAAATGTATGAATTTGTTTGTTGTAATTAAGAGTTTATTCTATCTATAAATCATAATTGCTTAATTATTATTATAATTTCATATTATATGTTGATTTCATCTATAATCAATGAAAAATTATCTAAATTCAAAATGGAAAATGCTATTTAGAAATCTATCCAATGTTTATAATTGATTTTTAAATCATTAATCAAAACAAACTATCAAAAATATCTATCATTAGATTAAATCATATAAATAATAATCCTAAAATCTAATATTATTTTTTATCTATCTATCATTCCTTAATTGATTCGAGACACGTTATTTTCATCAATTTTATTATGCAGACAAATTGGTTACCTTTTTTTTTATCTCTATATCACATAAATTTGATTTTAAAGATATACGTAATCTAATGACAGAACTGTCTATCATTGAATTTATGTTATTTTGCACTGACTGTATAAAAAATTCAAGGAATAAATTATCCATGAATGATCTATCCAGATTATCTATGATAATCCTTGAATTTTTATAATCCTTGGAATGATAATCTATATCCATTTGATAAAAATCTTTTTATGTTATCTCTTGTAATCTCATCTTTTTTCTATCTATCTATCTATCGTCCATATATCTATCTATCTATCTAAACAGATCCTATCTATCATCATCTATCTATCTATTATCTATCTATCTATCTTTTCTATCTATCTATAAGACTGTCTTTTTCTATCTATCTATCTTTCTTCAATCTTTCTATCTATCTATCTATCTATTTAATCTAAGCATCTTTCAGGACTTTCTATCTATTTATCTATGTCATCTATTCGACTGTCTATCTATAGTCTATCTATCTATTCATCTATCTATCTATCTATCATTCCAATAATATTACAGTTTCTGTCTCTAAAAATCTATCTAATATTAAATGATCTATCTTATCCCAATATTATCCCTATCCTTTCATTCCATTTTTTATAATATTTAAATTTCTGTACTGCATAAAATATCACAGACTTGTAATTTAATTTATCTATCTATCAGATAACTATATTGTTCATCTACTATAGAATATCTATATCTATTTATTTACTATCTATCTAATACTTTCTATATCTATCTATCTGAATTATTATTTATGATCAAAAATCCATTTGGATTTATAATTCTATCTCTTAAAATTATTTTCATTCATATTTTTTCTCAAATTCTATTCAAACTGCTTTTCTCGTTCTCTCTCAATTAATTTTAAATTTCTCTTTCTCTTAATCTCTCTCTATTTTCTCTCTCTCTCTATCTATCTATCTATCTATCTATATATTCTATCTACAGCCGTCTTTAGATTTTGTTTGCCTGTTCTATAAGTAAACCTCTCTTTTTGTACCCTAATTATTATTCTTGATTGTTATACTTAAAATTTAATTTTAGGCCATCTTCAGTTTCTTGCCATTGTACTTTTTTTTTTATTTCGACCCTTTTATTCCATTGAAAATATATATATTGAAAATAACCTCCAGGAGCAAAATAGCAGAACAAAGAATTTTAAAAAATCTTGCCTGCTCCCTTCTAAATAGAAAGGGTAAATAAGAAAATAGACCCCACCAAGCTCATTTTATGCAGGCTAATGTTCCCTCTCAATAATCAAAAGTAATGAAGGAATACTTTAATGAGAAGCAGGTGAGTGTTATGACATGGCCGCCCCAATCTCCTGACCACAACCCCATAGAAAACTTATGGAGCATTATAAAGAACAGGTTCTCGAGAAAGCAGTTGAGCAACATGCTCCTTTTCAATAGGTTTTAAGAAACCAGTTCCATGAAAAGAAAAGCATCCCCAGAACATAAATACTGAATGGATGCTTGACAGTACTTACTGCTAAATTCAAAGAGCTTTCAAAGCTTCTTCTTCGGATTTTAGATCGCTTATCCTTTGAATTTAGCTCAACTTTCGTTTCATCGGAGAAGAGAACATTTTTTAAAAAAATCAGGTGAGTCACTTTTATCGAACATCACTGTATATTCATGTCTGATCTTGCCCATCTCATCCTGAATCAAAGAATGTGACATTTCAGCGTTACACGAATCAGGAATTGTACTCAGAAGTGGCTAGGAAGCCAGATATGTTTTAAACAAGAATTTTACTCCAGAAAGTTACATGCACACACACACACACGCGCGCACACACACTCGCGCGCCAAGATAGATAGATAGATAGATAGATACGTATACATTGAGATATATACGAATTCAATGTGATATATATATATATATATATATATATATATATATATAGAGAGAGAGAGAGAGAGAGAGAGAGAATAGATAGATAGATAGATAGATAGATAGATAGATAGATAGATAGAAACAGACTGAGTAAGTAGATAGAGAGAGAAAGAGAGAGAATGAGAGAGAATGAATTACACAGAGAGAGGAGGATCGAGGAAATAAGATAGATAAATAAAAAATCATAAATAGGCTCAGATAGATAGATAGATAGATAGATAGATAGATAGATAGGCAGTTTGTGATAGATAGATAGATAGATAGATAGATAGATAGATAGATAGATAGATAGATAGATATGATATATACATTGAGATATATACAAATTCATTGTGATAGATAGATAGATAGATAGATAGATAGATAGATAGATAGATAGGCAGTTTGTGATAGATAGAAACAGACTGAGATAGATAGATATATAGATAGGCAGTTTGTGATAGATAGATAGATAGATACGTATACATTGAGATATATACAAATTCAATGTGATAGATAGATAGATAGATAGATAGATAGATAGATAGATAGATAGATAGATACGTATACATTGAGATATATACAAATTCAATGTGATAGATAGATAGATAGATAGATAGATAGATAGATATACAAGAGTCATGCAGAAAGATTATTAATTGCAGTGATAGTCAAGCTTCCAAACATAATGAAATACTTTCATAAATAATGAACATAATATTGTTTCAAACGAAAAGCATTCGATGCTTACATTCAAACGAATATTAAAAAAATCTTCTTTCTGAAGGAAAATTACGCTAACAACTTTTTAATACGCGCTTCTGTAACAGATTCAATATGTGATGTTTATGATAACGTTTATTCTTTCTTATCCGGTAAGTTAATTAACTTTCTCATGAAAGCGGTTAATTAACTTTTATTTAATAAGCGTAGCTGTTATTAGCAAAATCTAAATACATTTTCGGGGACGCACACACACACACACATAGATAGATAGATAGATAGATAGATAGATAGATAGATAGATTTCACATTTCATGTATATGATGAGGCTAAAAGTTTGAGATAGTTAAATTACGCTGAACACTTTTTAATAGATAGATGTTAACAGATAGAATAGATAGATAGATAGATAGATTTCTTATCCGGTAGATTAATTAGATTCTCATTCACATTTCATGTTTATTTAATAGGCGTGAAAGTTTGAGAATCTAAATACATTTTCATGGAACACTTTGAGATAGATAGATAGATAGATAGATAGATAGATAGATAGATAGATAGATAGATAGATAACGAAAAGAATGAGATAGATAGATAGATAGATAGATAGATAGATAGATAGATAGATAGATAGATTTCACATTTCATGTATATGAATAGGCTGAAAGTTTGAGATAGTTATATAGGTATGAACACTTTGAGATAGATAGATAGATAGATAGATAGATAGATAGATAGATAGATAGATAGATAGATAGATAACGAAAAGAATGAGATAGATAGATAGATAGATAGATAGATAGATAGATAACGAAAACAGTGAGATAGATAGATAGATAGATAGATAGATAGATAGATAGATAGATAGATAGATAGATAGATAGATAGATACCAGCTATGTCGTCATGGTAACTGAATTAAAGTTCGCAGAGTGAAGCCGCTTGGCACCCGACAGACCTTTAACTCTGCCGCGCATAATCACTAAATTATAACGTTCTCGCTTACTTCCGTTGTTTACAGCAGTTCTTGGAAGGAAAGTGCGTAGAGTGTGGCTGTCTCACAACACTACAGAGATTCGACCAGTGACGATGATTTCCCCAGGTTCGACAACCACCATATTTCCCAGATCTCGCCCTTTGCAACTTTTTTTCCTTTTCAAAAATCAATTCCCTCTCAAAAGGAACAAGATTTCGGGACCCGAAGAAATCCAAGAGACCGCGACGAGTCAGCTAGAAATAGAGTTCTAGGAATGCTTCCATCAATGAAAACGCCGCTGGATAAAGTGTGTGATTCTGGAAGGGCACTACTTCGAAGGTGATTAAATGCTGAATTGATATATGTTGTAGTTTTCTTTTTATAGCACCACCATGCTGAAATAATCTTTTTTTTTTCAATGTCTTTCATATTATTATAAATAATAATCAATACTAATAGAATATTATAATTAAATAACAATTAATTGCATAATATAATTAGCCCGACTATATATTCTTTTTTATTCTTATTAATTTTCATATAAGTTAATATGTGAACTAGTTTGCTATTTAATCTCATTGTAAATTAATACTCCTATACCCAGCCACCGGGCCGCAAGCCATTTGGAACCAGGCCGTGGACTAGTTCGTACCTGATGGTGGACAGTTTGTTACCGGGCGATGGACCAGTTCGTACCGGATTGTGGACTATTTGGTACCGGGCCGCGGACCTTCTGGAACCTGAGCGTGGATCATTTGATACCTGGCTGAGGACCAGTTCTTACCGTGCCGTGGATAGTTTGTTACCGGGCTACAGACCAGTTCGTACCGGTCCGTGGACCATTTATTACCGGTCCGCGGACCAGCTGATACCGGTCCGCGGACCGGGCTCTGCTGATACCATTTAGCGTGGACCATTTGGTGCCGGGATGTGGACCATTTGTTACTACGTACCGGTCCGTGGACCATTTATTACCGGTCCGTGGACCAGTTCCGTTGGTACCTGGCCGAGGACCATTTGCATTAAGGACCATTTGTTACAGGGCTCTGGACCATTTAGTACCATTTAGTACCGGGACGTGGACCATTAGAAGAAGACCATTTATTACCATTTATTACCGGTCCGGACCATTTGGTACCAAGTCGTGGACCAGTTCGTACCGTGCCGTGGACAGTTTGTTGGACGAGTTATTACCGAACCAGTTGATACCTGGCCGAGGACCATTTGTACCGGTCCGGCTCTGGACCATTTCGTTATTTAGTACGTGGACCATTAGAAGTCCGGAGCCATTTATTTTCCGCGGACCAGCTGGTCCGTGGACCAGTTATTACCGGGCCGCGGACCAGTTGGTACCTGGCCGAGGACCATTTGGTACGGGGCCGTGGACCATTTGTTACAGGGCTCTGGACCAGTTCGTACCGGGCTCTGGACCATTTAGTACCGGGACGTGGACCATTAGAAGAAGAAGAAGAAGAAGAAGAAGAAGAAGAAGAAGAAGAAGAAGAAAAGAAAAAAAAAAAAAAGTAGTAAAACTTTTATCCAATATCTGTCTTCCTATATGGCAATAAACGCTAGACAATCTCACAGATGATGAAGAGACTTGAAAATAAAGAAATGTGATTCTACAGAAGGATGCTGAGAATGACGAAGTTCTAGAGTAAATGAAAATTAAAAGGACATTTATGCTTAATGTCAGGAAGACAGTTTAAATTTCATGGGCGAATAATGAGGAAAGATGGCTTAGAAAATTTGATACCCACAAGGCAGATTGAAGGTAAGAGAGACAAAGAAAAGCAACACATGATAAACCTGGTGAGCTTGAGTGAATAGATGACGGAAACGAGTTTAGGACCGATAGCAAAAAGACAAAATGTATCACCAGCTATAAAGGACAAGAGACTTTGCGGATTTATTAAAAGATATATTATTATTATTCATTTATTCCGTCGACCTAGCTCTGACATTCATAAGGGTCTCATCATCAAGGCCGGCAGGTCATTAAGGTGGCATTTTGTGTCATAATATATCTGGCCAATATAGGTGGTTGCTGGGTCTTGCTCCCTGAATAGGTGTTGTCTTGTAGATAAATCACAAATTATGGCATTCAGATGTAGATCGTATCACATGATAAACTATGTATTTGGCTTTTACACTACGTCCTCTGAGCATAATACGCGTGTATCACCTACAATGGGGAAGGAAATTGTCGTGAGCCATGATCGCCAACGTCTCGAAGCGACACGGCACATAGAAGATGGATGATCATTTTGCAATTTACATAGAAAACCAGACCCTTTTATTAACCTTTATAATTATTTTTTTTATATTCATAGTCTCGAGTTCTTCCAGTGTTTTCCAAGCATTTTGTCTCCAACCTGTATTTTCGGAATGAAAATTAACTCGCGCCTCACCAGTCAAGTCAACTATCCCGGATCTGCATCAAGGTCGGCAGATCATTAGGGTGGCATTCTGTGTCATAATATATCTGGCCAATATTGGTGGTTGCCGGGTGACCAACCCGTCTTGCTCCCTGAATAGGTTTCTAGTACATAACTCACAAGTTATGGCAATCAGGTGTAGATGGTATCACATGATAAACTATGTATTTGGTTTTTACACCACGCCCGCTGAGCATAATACGCATGTAGCATCTACAAGGGAAAGGAAATTGCGGTGAGCCATGATCGCCAACGTCTTGAAGCGACACGGCACATAAAAGATAGATGATCATTTTGCAATTTACATAGCAATCTAGACCCTCTTATTAGTTTCAAGAGCTCCCACTGATTCCCAAACATGTTTTTCTCTGGGTTGCATTTTCGAAATGAAAATTTGCTCGCGCCTCCACCAAATTTTAAGCGATAAAAAGTCCATTTAAAAATACAAAACAGGTTTTTTTTTTTTAAAAAAATAATAATAAAGCTTAAAAAAAAAATCTAGTTTAAAAAAATAAAGCGTTAAGAGGTCATTGGATAAAAATCGCCTGAGGATACCGTAAGGTTGAAACCGAGGTAGCGGATTCACCATATATACAGCGATACCTCGGCTTACGTCGTTTTGAGTTAAGTTAGTTTCAAAGATACGTCTGTTTTTCTTAAATATTATATGGAAAAATAAAGCTCACCTTAAATGGTTTTAATTGAGTTTACATAAATTTAAAATTGGTTCTTAATTATTTTTAATTATTTTATTCAGAATACTGTACGTACATATCATAAATAAAGTAATATGCAATGGGGAGTGATTATTTCTGTTTTATACTGTGGTTATTTTAACCGAATTTGTAACTTCTGGGACCAATTAACAATGTCGGATGAAGTATATTTGTATAGACAAAACAAAACAAATATATATAAATAGGCCTACCTAATTTTATTGGTAGAAACTTGCTACTTACTTATGTTTGGTTAATTTTCTATCAGTGTTCAAACTCAGATAAAACCCGGGGTTTTGAATGCTGATTTTAAAGGCAATATTTGTCAAAGCTTCATGTTTTGCTCAGAAAAAAAAGTCATTTGAATCACTGTGGTAAGATCAATGCCAAGCATTTCAGTTGTCAAAATAAATAAAATAATAAAAATTTGTAGTATTCAAGACCCTTCTTAATGTTGTAAACTGTTCTACAAATAAGGTGGTCAACATATATACAACGATACCTCGGCTTACGTCGTTTCGAGTTAAGTTAGTTTCAAAGATACGTCTGCTTTTGTTTTTTTTTCAATTTTATATAGAAAAATAACACTCACCTTAAGTGGTTTTAATTGAGTTTACATAAATCTAAAATTGGTTCTTAATTATTTTTAATTATTTTATTTAGAACGATGTATGTACTTAACATAAATACAGTAAAAGACAATGGGGGGGGTGATAATTTGCAGTTTATACTGTGGTTATTTCAACCTAATTTGTAACTTCTGGGACCAATGAACAATGTCGGATGAGGTATATTTGTATAGACAAAACAAAAATAAATAAATAGGCCGACCTAATTTTATTGGTAGAAATTTGTTACTTACATATTAAAGGGACATAACCGCGAATACGAATCCAGAACATTATCATTGATAACTCTCTCCTCCAATTTGCAGACCCTAAATACTTGATAGACTGCAAAAATATCACAATGATAAAATCGGTCAATAATTATTTATAACTATACGGGGACTCATGCCTGCAATTACAAGTAATCTATAATAATATTTCAAATTTAAAAATCATATTTATTTATAACTATTTACACTGGAACTTAAAAGTAATCCATAATCAGCCAATTAAGTGCCATGCGTGATATACACTTGGGCGATCATGTATCTTTTGATATATGACTGACAAGGCTGTTTTTTTCTCCTGCAGTAGGTTGCCATTTCTTTCTGCAGTGGACCAGCTGCCATCGAAAGCTATAAAACCCAGTCTATCCTGCGACTAAGAAGATGATACATACTTTTTCCCAAGGGTATTAGCACGTAAGGGAATGTAATGGATTCGACTGGAATTCGAACTCTGCTCTCCGATTCAGTTATGTGCCATGCGTGATACACGCTTAGGCGATCATGTATCTTTCGATACATGACTGACGAAGTAGTTTTCCTGCAGTAGATTGCTATTTCTTTCTGCGATTTACTCTGGGGGTGTGGGGAGAAGAGGAGGGTATTAGCCCGTAAGTGATTGTAATAGATTCTTCTGGAATTCGAACTCGGCTCTCCGATTCCTCAATCCGAGCCGCTATCGATTACTCCAGCGTGCCTCCTATAATCCATAATAATATTTAAAATTTTGAAAATCATATTTATTTTTGGTATATGAATTTTTTTAAAAAGGTTTCTAAATCTTGTCTCTCAGTTATTCCGCCTCACCTGCTATCCTCTTTCGCCGCCTTTATCAAGCGTACCGCAAGGTTTGGAAACAACAGAATCTAATATGAGAGGATTGTTTCCAGTTGCACTGCCAATCGCGCAGTTCCATTTTAAGAGTAAACAGAAGGTTACCAATATGGGCATTTCATTTAAAATCGATCTCACTACACAATTGTAATTTTTTTCTTGTCTCGTTCGAGATGACCTATATAATTTGCACTTTTAAGGATTTAGTGGATCAGTCATCTTTGGCCAGATTCCATCACTTAGTTGAGTAAAATAAATAATAGAAAATTACTGTTTAAATTCCACGTCGGAAAAAAAACATGGACGCGAATCAGACAGGCGCGAACTAAGAAATGTTTTATTAGGCTTTTAGCCAAATATTTCAGATGTGTAATTATGAGATTTCGGTTTGTATCCGCGTATACACCTGTGTTTGTCTGTGTATATGGATATTTACGTGTTGGGTGTGATATTATGTGAGTTTGTGTGTGCCTATGTACTTATTCATGTGTGTGCCTATGTACTTATTCATGTGTGTGCGTGTGTGTGTGTATATATATTTTGTCTGTGTTTGAGTCTGTGTGTGAGCTGCATTTGTGTGTTCGGGCGTGATGTTGGGTGGGTTTTATGCGTGCTAATATATGTATTTATGTGTATGTGTGTGTGTCCATATTTTTCTGTGTGTGTGTCATTATATCTGTGTTTGTTTCTGCGTGCGAATATGTTATATTTGTGTGTAATATTACTAGCGTTTGTGTGTATTTTAACCTGTGCGTCAGTACTTACCGTATATATATATATATATATATATATATATATATATATATATATATATATATATATATATGTGTGTGTGTGTGTGTGTGTGTGTGTGTGTGTGTGTGTGTGTGTGTGTGTGTGTCTGTGTGTGTGAAAATATATAGAAAATAGGAAAGAACTCGTTCGGTAAATAATCCAAAGTTCTTTAGTATTTTAGTTATTATTTTTAAAATATAGTGCTCAATACAAAAGTAGAGCGTAAATATAATTATTTATTTATAAATATGATTATTTTTGCTATATAGAAAGTCTCATGTTTGAAAATGGAACTGAAAACTTCAATATAATTCAATTTTTCCAAATAATTATATTGAACTTTTCTTTTTCAATTTTTTCTATTATGAGAACTTTTGGT